GTCAAGTCGTCGTGTCTGTCTTGGTAATTCAGCAGGACGCGACTTCTTGTGGTCGTCGTCCCGCTGTGTCATATTGAAGTCCCCGAAAATTGTTAACCATGTTTGATATCACAATCTTAGAATTTAGAATGAAACTATGCTTGTCTAATCTAAGAATTAAACATGATTAAACTAAAATTTAAATGTCGAAATACATACGTCTTAGCATATGAGTGAGTAACTAAATTTATTTACTCATATACGTCTAAGGCATTCATATTTTGTTTCTCAGAATTGGAGTTTGGAGTTCAGTTTCAGTTTCAAATTTTCTTTGGGGCTGTGGTTTCAGGGCCTTAAGTCATTGTTCAAATTTAGATATTTCTGTTATGTTTCACGGTCTATAATAAAATTAATAAATTGGTAACACGTGGAGTATCGTATGATTGTACTAACTGCGTCACGATCAAGTTTATGTTTTGAATAAAGCATTAATTCAACATTTTATAACCTACAAACGAAAGAACTGGTTCGAAGACAAATGTCAACTTTATTAATTACCTAATATCTGTTCATGTTTTTCATTTTTCGAAAATAAAACTACTATATTACTCAATACATGAACCGATAGCCTCGTCCTCGACCCTCGGCAGTCGACACGTGATCATTTTACTTACATTGTACATTACGTTATATTATTTTACGTTTTGCGTGCAAAGTCTAATGATGACTCGATGAGTGTTTAGTGCTAAATATTTAATAAAAAAAACACAAAATGTCTGAAGGTAATTGAGTCAGAATGATAAACGTTTAGTTTGTGTAACAAAGAAAATAGAATCTGGTTAATTTGGCTAATTATTAAAATCTATTTTCTAAGGGCATGGCATATAGGTTATGAGCTTATTTAAAATATTAATTGATAGTGAGGTCAAGGTCAGGTAACACCTATGGAGCTCGATTTATATGTTGATTTATCAATTTGTATATTTTTCCAGTCAAATGTCATGCATGTTTAAGTCGTGCTTTCTTGATATCCTCTGTACTTGTATACTTCTATTCAGTACTGATCATACTCTTTGTTCGTTAAGACTGAAACCTGACATTTATTTCAGGCTTAGAAAAATATGGCACCTCATAGTTGTAAAGGTTGTTTAAGAGATATTGTAGCAGCTAAAATGGCTAAAGACAATAGAAATACTCCAATGGAAGTAAATGGAGTAGACGAAAATGGAATATCCGATAATCCATGTAAGTACCTTTAGCACATCTACGTATATATAAAGTAACAAGTAAATTTGTTACGTAGTACAAAAGCAAATTTAAGTATATGCCTAAGCAATTTAGTGTATTAGTGCAATACTCAAAATTAAAAATATAATATTAAATAAATTTTTCTTGGCCTTATTGTAGTAAAATTTTACAAAATTATAGATTATTTCAAGAATTAATGTACTGATCACATATTGTGCATGTGATAATAAAATAATTCAAGAATTATGTAGTTTATTTAAAACAAAAATGAATATTAAAAATTTAAGTATACTTATGTATAAATAATTATGTCCTTTGGATAATTATACAAAATGTTCCACTTTGAATTAATCAATTGTATCCACATGTAGAACTCGAACAAGTATTAGGATGTTTTTTAATGAACTCCGCTTTTACCTCACTGTTTTATGTGTACGGAACCATATCAATTTGTTTTCCTATTTATATACTTTTTAAGTATTTAAAGGTTATTTTATATTTATCTAGATATAGAAGGTTTTTAATTACTTTTGATGCCTTTGTTTTTAATTATTACTAAGAGGACATTAAGATTATATACTTACACACTTAAATATATTTTTAAATTGAGTCGTTTTGGTGTCATGGTATCTTTTTTTCCTAGGTTTATCAACAACATTTATCAGTTCAAAACGTGAGTCTGTCACTTTTAACAACTCTAACATTATCTTTTTTATTATCTGAAAATTGTCCCTATCTAAATATTTTTTAAATTATTAAAACTCATAATTATTAATCCATTGACCTCTCATTTAAACTTTTCTAGAATAGGTACTGCTGTATTATTATCAAGGAACATGTGTATTTTTTATGTTTATAATTACAACTTAAACGATAATTATTTTTGTACTATTACAAGGTTTTTATATTTTGAAATAAGAAATTTATATGGATGAAGTAATTCCACATTTGAAAATAAAATCACATACATGTTTTCCATAATACAAGGTACATACTTAAATTTTTGAATCACATCTAAAATATTAAATTAAGTAAGAAATTATCTTTACATTTTTTATACATTTGGTATCATTTAATCTATCACACAAGTACTTTATTATCTGGACCTATTTTAGCATTTTTAACTTAAACCAAATATTAATTCACCTTCTGTTGTTCCATCCACCGAAGATGAAGAATGGTATTTCTGATTTTTCCTCTTTTTCAGCGATGCCTTGGTTTGGAATGGATATTGGTGGAAGTTTGTGTAAGCTGGTGTATTTTGAACCAAAAGACATCCCTAAAGGTGAATCTACATCGGAAGTTGAAACGTTAAGAAATATTAGAAGATATCTTACCAAAAATTCTGCCTATGGGAAAACAGGACATCGTGACACCCATTTACAAGTAAATAATACCTATTTATTATACAAAATATTATGGCAATTACATTGATTTCTTGTTTGTGACGTTCCGTTTCAGTAAAGTGTTAATTGAATATGTATTGCGACCCTTGCATTTCGTATACAAAGGTTTAAATTCATTAGGTTTGACGTGCTGAATAATTAATTATTAAGAATATTACATAATTTGAATATATATATTTACTCATATCCATTTGATGTAATTTAATGATGAGGCTTTGGCCTGCTTTAGAGAGAGCAGTTTTTATTAGAACTTCTTCTCAATTTGTTGATGTACATTTTCATGAGCTAATGAAACTTTTGAGATTGATATTGTTTCAAAATGATACATTCTGTCGAAGTTAAATTACCGTCATTCTTTTGTAAAAAACCATCATTTTAAATGATGAAATTTGGAAAAAATTACCTACAACAAAAAAGCTAAGCAAATACCGAGGCAAATACTTTTATTAGATTATTAATATTTAAATTTACTCTACGTTAGAGAGAATAATTTTTATATATTATTAATCATAATGCCCATTAGTCCTACATCCAAATTTTTTTGTGTATTTTTTTAACTGAAAATTTTTTTAGATGGATAATGTGGTAATAAGGGGAATAGTAGGGGCATTGCATTTTATTCGTTTTCCCACTAGTGAAATGAAAAATTTCTTAGCTCTAGCGAAATATAAAGGAATGGCTACACTAGTGACAACTGTTTGTGCAACGGGAGGGGGAGCTTACAAATTCGAAGAAGATTTTCGAAGAGTAAGTAAATGTAAGAAAGTAATTTCTAGAGTAGCAAAATTAATTTCCGTATATACAGTATTTTGTGTTGGATAAATTATTTATTATAGTTTGGGTGACTAAATGCAATTTTTCTTTAGGAGGTTAATATGAAACTAGCAAAATTCGATGAGTTTGACTCATTACTGAAAGGTCTACAGTACATCGATAAAAATAGTCCAACAGAATGTTACTATTGGGCAAATCCGACTGATGAAAGCAAATGTGCCAAAGTTAATTATGATTTTTCAAGTCCATACCCTTTCCTTATAGTGAATATTGGATCGGGAGTTAGCGTCTTAGCTGTGTATTCTGCCACAAATTATAAAAGGATATCGGGTACAAGGTACGTTATGTGTTTTAAGATAAATCTTATCAGAATTAGTTTTATTTTACTGTGCATGCGGCGGTCCAATTATGTTTCAAAATATCAAAAAATTAAGATAAATGATGCACACATATCACTAACATTTCAGATGTTTGAATGTTGATGGTATTATCTTATCTGCAAGGTGTTATGTATATATTTGTGAAACGGATAATTATTGAATGTCCACCATAAATCCAGTTATTGGTCGTAAATTTGTCTGGTTTATTTCCAGTATTTTACATGATTAAGTCACTCAATTTCATATTTTTTTCAAAATTAAAACCGAGGATTGTACGAGGGTTGCCTTTTATATTTCGGGATTAGAGAACAAAAACAAATATTAATCAATGAAAATCACTTTATTGTTTTTCAAAATATTCCCCATGAGGATCTATACACTTTTGCATGCGTTTGAACCAATTGTCGAAGCACTTTTGCCACTCTGATTGAGGTATCTCCAAAATATGCAATCTGAATGCAGCAACCGCTTCTTCAGGTGTCGAAAAACGTTGACCTCTCAGTTTGTTTTTTACGTATGGGAATGAAAAGAAGTCATTCGGTGCCAAGTCAGGACTATACGGCGGATGACTCATCAAATCGATGTTTTGGGTGCTCAAAAATGCAGTTGTTTGAGCCGATGTGTGAGAGCTCGCATTGTCATGGTGAAGAGTGATCCGTCTTCGGCGGTTGGTTTTCCTGATTTCTTGGAAGACAACTGGCAAACAAATGGTTGTGTACCACTCAGAATTAGCTGTTCTGCGTTGTTCTAGTGGTACGGTTGCGACATGTCCAGTTTTTTCGAAAAAACAGGCGACCATTTGCTTGGAAGTGCTTCGTGCGCGAACAACTTTTGTTGGATTTGGCTCATCTTGAAACACCCATAGAGTCGACTGCTGTTTACTTTCGGGCTCATACGCGTAAATCCACGATTCGTCACCTGTCACGATGTCATAGACGTGTTTCGAAGCACCGCTATCGTATTTTTTGAGCATTTCTTTCGACCAATCGACATGAGCCTTTTTTTGAGCAATTGACAGATTGTGTGGGATCCAACGCGAACAAATTTTTTTGACAGTCAAATGTTTATGCAATATTGAATGTATGCTGGTCCCACTAATGCCTAAGGTTGTCTCAATCTCACGAGGTCAGCATCAATGGTTTTCGGAACAACAACTGATTTTGGACGACCTTCACGAAATTCGTCTTGGAGTGAACTACGACCACGATTGAATTCACCATACCATCGATAAACACTGGTCCTTGATGGAGCTTCATCGCCAAAAATTGAATTAAGTTCATCCATGCACTGTTGCTGAGTTAATCCACGTCGAAAGTTGTAAAAAATAATCGCACGAAAATGTTCACGATTTAATTCCATTTTTGGGCCGACATGAATCTTTTAACTTACTGTAAACAACACAAATAGCGCTCGTATGTCAAAACGTTCTGAGTACGTATAACCTCAAAAATGTCCAACTTTACGATAGAGCTGTCAGTTGCCAGATTGCAACACTAGGGTTGCCAAATCCCGAAACGTAAAAGGCAACTCTCGTATATTATCTGTTGGATCAAGATGTTTTGTGTAATAAATATAATAACTTTAAATGTTACACCAAAAATTGTTCTTAGAAAATGTTTAAATAATGTTTCCTTAGTTTACACGTAATATTGTGAATTTTTTCAAACGATTTCTATTCAAAATGGCGACTGTAGATGATGGCAAGCAATGACATCTTTTTTTCAGAGGGCTGTATGACCAGGAGGGTTTCTCATTAACGGGTGGTCGTGGAAGAAAAAACCAAAAATTTTCTGATGTACAGGGTATAGGAAAAGTACCCGAGCGGTAGAATAACTCAGCGGGAGAGAAGTTTCAGGATGTCTCCCTGGCTATCCGAAGGTGACCTTGACATTGACCTTGGCGATCATTTCAAGGTCAAATGTGATTTTTCAAGTGGGACCCTATACTTTTGACCCCAGACCACCTTGTGGGGGCCCCAAGGTCAAAAAGGAGGGGGTCACTCAAGGTCATATCTGAACGTAAAATTTTCAGCTCTTCATTTCTGGGGTCAAAAGTATAGTGGGACCCTATACTTTTTTTTAAAATCACATTTGACCTTGAAGTGATCTTTAAGGTCAAGGCAATATCAAAGTCACCATCGGATAGCCATGGAGAAATCCTGAAACTTTTGTATTTAACATTTTTCTCTAAAATGCTCTCCCGTCGAGTTATTCTGCCATTCCAGTACTTTGCTATAAGTACCCTGTATACTGAAATCTAGAGAACATAGTAGGGAAATTAAAAAATATTAATATTTGTTGATTACATGAACATTAAAAAAAATATTGAAAAAGGACAAAAATTTTGCATTAAATAGTTAATAACAACGAAAATGATTAAATCAATCGAAAAATCTTTACGGTGTTCCCTGAGTTATACTATCGTGAAGCTCTGTATAAAATTTCAAGTCGATTTATTGAAAATTTTTGGAGTTATGTTTCCTGCCAGTTAAAGAAAAGTAGTTTCTCGAAAAACCCATTTAAAGTATTTGGGAACAAATGACAGAAAAAAAATATTAATTTTATATCCTTATGGAGAGCAATTAGTTTTTGTAGCATTTTATATATTCAGTTAGTAAAATTATCATTATTATCGTTAGTAGCCATTTTGAAATATAAAAAAGACAGAGAAAGTAAATTAGCGAGACAAAAAATTGACTGGAAAAAGAATTGTAGACAATTGTTACATTTTCTATCATATCAGTTTCAGTATCTCCTAGTCTTTGTTGAATTATGGCATTGTTATAACACCTTGACATTTACTATTTGAACCTTTTAAGTTTAAAATGTAATATGCACACTTTTTAAATAGTTTACTCCATTTATAAAAGTGAAGGTCACATTAAATTAGTTGTGTAATTTTTTTATGTATGTTATTTTATGCGTATTTAGTTGGAATTTAAGTACATATTTAAAAAAGTGAAAAGAAATAAAATTTTTGTACCGCGTGGATAAATTATTCTGTTTTTACTAATTAATTAATCTTCAAATTTTCTCACAGGTGGTAAAATGTTCAAATAAACAAAAAAATTAAAATTGATAAAGAAATTGGTCAAGTTTATTGTATAATACCAAAATTGTTGAAAATTTCCTAGTTTATTGGAACTAGGAAATTTTCAACTATCAAAACTACCAAAAATTGATGACAATAGAAGCGGTTCAATTTTATTGGCCAATTTTGGTGATTTCTTGCGATTTAATTTTTATTTATTAGTAGCAATAAAAAATATTGGTTACTTTCTACAATTTTTACACTCCTTATATAACAAATTTAAATGAAATGATATATAAAATATAATAGTAATTTATATTTAAGAGGTAAGACCACTGTAATTTTCATAAAATCAATTTTTTTCCTTGACTGAAAAGATGCTTTGAACCTTGTAGAATAAGGGGAAAGAAGTTTTATGCCTGAAATTTATTTTTTATTCCGAGTTCTTTTTCAAGCATGCTTCGATACGACTCTATTGCACATAGACATCTGCATGAAGAGTACAGCCTAATGACTAACATATCTCGTTAGAAAGAGTTTGTGTTCAATTGGAGACATTTCCAAACAAAAGTACGTTAGTATAGTGTATCTCAAAATTTTAAAAACGTTTTACTCAAAACACGATTTTTTTTAATGGCATGGATCATAATTCCAACAATTTTCTTTTTATTCACTCCAAATTTTGACCATATCTTTAAAACAACATCCTGAAGTGAAGTACATTTTCGATAAGTTGATTTTAACATTACTTATTGACAAATGGTTGACCCCTTTTTTGTCACAAATTGAACTTTTCAAATGCTCGACAATCGCACAAAAACTAATGTTTTCAAAATCCTTTACGTATTTCTCTAACCATACTCGTGTAAATGAACAGAAAATTTTTTGTTTTTTTCCATATTCAAATTTGTGTCAGTTAAGACTGTGCCGTAGAGCACCTCTGATTCAACATGCCTCACAAGAATGGCTCTAGCGTCGCCATTTGTACTATTTATGAATAAATATTTTTTTTATTTGACAATTAATAACATCCTTAAATATTATTATCCGCTTTTTGTTCCTTAAAAAAAATCACAAAAAGAAATAATAATCCTTAGTCCCTAGCCCTAGACACTATAATAAATTGTTTCAATTCATATGAATGAAAAAAATATCTTATCTTAATAAGCTACTTTTACTATGAATGAATTGTATTAATATCAAAAATTAATCATAAATATTTCTCTTGCTAGAGATTCTGTCAAGTATTACTATATTTCATTTTGACTGATTTTTATTTAAAAATTGGCAGCTTATTAGTCTTTTATTTATGGTTTGCTGCTATCATGATTGATTTTAATTCTAAAAATATATAGCCTTAAATTTGACCGATAAATTGGGCAATTTATTATGTGCAAAACAATGCCATTTTTTAACAATTGATTTGCTCAAAAATTGGTAAATTAACGCAGGTTTAATACATAAATTTTGCTGAATTTCTTATCTTCTCTAAGTTGACCAAGAAATTGAGGATTTTTAGTTACTTCTTAATTATCACCAATTTTAGTTACATTATACAATTTCGGTACTTGCTTTTTTTAAATTTAAAATATTTAAAGAATATGTTTCAAATAGGTGATTGTTACCGTAATATTTTTTTTTATTCGGTTGATAGCCGCACGGGTTGAGGCGTCAGTCCTTAAATCGTGTGCAAATTTCTGCCCGGGTTCGATTCCCGCAGCCGGTAGACCGTAGATTAGCTATGCTTGTACGAAGGATTGGCACCCTCTGTGCAGGTATGGTAGGGTAGAAGAATGTTGGCTTGGGTCAATGTGAGAGATTGACACCGGTTGGCATTTGACCACCCCCCTAATTAATGAGGTTTTCCAGGTTTCCCTCATTGCTGCACTGAATTGTGGTTAGGGCCTACCAACATGAGTCGTTCCTGGGCGCAAATGCGGTCTGCCTAATAGTAATATGCCGCCTCCTCTCCCACAAAAGTCTCCGACTTATGGGCTAATTCTCGTAGTTAGAATGAGGAGTAGAGATATTATTATTATTATATTCCAATTTCTTGGCCCATTTATTAAAACTGTTAAAGTAATAATTTATGTAATTGATCGATTAATTGGGTCAAAAATTGGTAAAGCAAATGGAGAACTTCTGTTTTTTATAGTATAGGGGGCGGTACCTTCTTGGGTCTCTGTTGTTTGTTGACCGGTTGCAATACGTTTGAGGAAGCGATAGAACTGGCAGCAGAGGGTGACCATACTCACGTTGACAAATTGGTCAGGGACATTTATGGTGGCGATTACGAACGATTTGGTCTTCCCGGTGACTTGGTAGCTAGCAGGTAATTACAAGATTAAAACTTTTAACCTTTGTATTTGCTACTTCTACCCTTCTGTGCTTAGCCTTCTTCGAAATGTTAAATGTATATATATATATATAATATTCATTTTCTTTTAATTTTATTTTTTATAACGTTTTCTAATGTGCGTTAAAGAATCCAACTAGATTTAAAGTTAAATGTGAATTTAAAAAATACATTTTCAACAATATAAATTAATACACTAGATAAAAAAGAAACTTCCGTAATGTTTTGAAGGAAATAGTTTCTACGTTCAGTCTATTGTATATAGGAATGTTTATTACAATAAACATTTAATGCAAAACGGCGATATTTCCATACCTAATTAAGATGAGTTTCATTCAAGGTTATACTCATTTAGTTACAAACGTCAGATAGTCGATAATGGGGACTAAATTACTTCACGGTGACGTCAGATTTTATATTTTCGTTTTTACATAATTACGATTACACAATGCGAGGATTATGTTTATAGGAAGAACAAAAAAAATCGAACAGGTAGATTTTTATTTTCGACTTGATTAAGTCACATTTAGGCGTTACAATTGAATTCATTTAACTATAAGGTTAGAGTTGATTGACGTCATTTGCAAAAGCTGGAAATTATTCAGCGGTAGAAAGGAATTGGAATTTGGTCTGCTTTGTTTGAGAAATTTTGAAAAGTTTTCTTTGAACAATAAGTGTCCTTAATCTAAAAAAAAAATACCATACAGGGTGTCTTATGCCAATCTGGAAAACCTGGAATTATGAAATTTCATAGAGATCTGAATATATCAGGGAATTTCTCAAATTACCACGAAATTTTTTCTAATTTTGGTCTTTATTTACAAAGTTCTGTTATTGAATTTTCCATCAGCAAAGAGTAAATTCATTGCTACAAGTCATGTTACTGCCGAGCTTAGGCAACATAACGTTGCACAATTGGCACTACCAACTAAAAGTCCCTAAATCATCAATATTATTGATTCGTCTACAATGAACAATGACAAACCGTTGCTGCTAGCTTCGAGATAATGCAATCACTGATTTATTGAATAAAATCTCGTGAAGAATTCCACCAATCACCAGCCGGTGAACAGAATGCTGTTTCAATGTATTCTTGATCTAACTGTTTTAACAATTTTTAATTTTACCGAAATTTTATTGCCAACTTGAAGGAAATAACATTACTGTTTCAAACAACATTACTAGTCACGTGGCTTATAATCATTTATGAAGGCTCTATTTTGCACCACATGAGTTGTATTTTGATTGGTTTATTGTCATTAATAATAATTAGTTCGTAATATTAATATTCTCATTCCCACTGTTTTTTTCTTATTGAACCATTTAATATCTAGTGCACAAAAGGGATCTTGGAAACTATTAGATATACAGAAGAGCTTGACTGGACAAAGTGTTGCACAATTTAATAAATAGTTACTTGTAGTCTAATTGAAAATATTCTCGAACCTTTCTTTAAATATCGTGTAATTGGTTTGATATGATGGTACTATAGTACCAATTATTTCTTTTTAAATGAAATTTAATATGACATCCATATGAAAAATGTTGATTTAAAAAAACTGTCTGTGGCAGTAAAAAAACCAAAAAATTACATCAGTGTGGTTCAAGATTTTTTTTCAGTTGGTGTACAGAATGGAGGTTAAAAAAGAACGATTTTTACTTGTAATAAAATTAAAACGAGGAAATATTTTTTTTTGTCTTTTTCCTGAGACTCTTGATGATCAGATTGGGTTCACCCTGTATAATGTCTACTTAAATGTTGACACCAAGTGGAATCATTTTGTATATGATTTTAAAATAATGAAATGGGTATGTGTCTAAATATGTTTTCTAAATACAGTGTAAACTCTTTTTAACGACTCTTAACGTACCGGGGATTTTTTGCGTTATAAAGAATTTTTGTTATATGGAGGGAAGAAGGAAAAATAACCAAATTTCACCAATTACAATAATTATATATAATACAAAATAGGTGCCTAGTGCGTTTAGTAACTGAGTGCAAAATTTCCTAGAAACAACACATCCAAGAGTAATGGCACACTTGTTTGAGACAATTAGCAATAACAAAAGCAAGGCAGTTGTTTACGACCTCAGGATCTTTCTTAGAAATTTCGGCACCTCAAAGATTCAGTCGAAACCTTTTGTAAGCTGATTATAAAAACAATTACACTATTAAATATTTCTGTAAATATTTGCTGGTACTAAATATGAACATATTTCTTCGCAATATAGAATGGCTGTTGTGCTATAAAGAGTGTATTAATGTATGGGTTTTGACGTAAACCAACCAAATTGATCTAATTTCTATGCTATAGGAAGTTTTTCGTTATAAAGAACGACGTTATAAAGAGTTTACACTGTAAGTGCAACCTAAATAAATGCAGTGGCCAATTTTTAATTTATAAGAAAATGACATTTTAATTGGCCAAAATTAAAAATAATAATTATATTATTTTACCGCAATAAAGTCAGTATTTAAAAAAGAAATCAAAATAGCAGTTTTTAATTTTTTTTAACTTGGAAAACCTTACATATTTTTTTAAATTGGAGTACAAATTTCTCACTATCATTAATGGAGTAAATCTTAACCTCCACAATAATGTTCTTAATAATTTGACCTAAGAAGAAATATTTATTGGTTTTGTATGGTATTATTAACGAAATTAGAATTTGATTAATAATTCCACTTTTTTTTCGAATATTTTTTATTTTAGCAAAATGTCTCCTAAACCAAAAATCTCCTGAATTGTCAGTATTTGGTATTCATAGAGAAGCAAAAATTATATATAAATAAAATGTTTTTCTAAAATTATAAATAAAAATGTTCATTATTTGGGCAAATTGTATTGTATAATTTTTTAAATAATCATGCTTTGTTAAATATTTGAGTCGAGATATTGACAAAAAATTAAGGAAATGGTGAGAATTAAAAAATGGAAACTGATATAGAACCTGTATCTTTCAGGCAGGGAAGTTTTTTTAAGTCTACCTGAAAAGCCAGTAAACATCACGGAATTTTGTGATCGATATTTGGTGTACATCCTGTAAATATCAATCCTGTTGATTTGTTTTCATGGGATTAATTTGTCGGAACATTGTTTCTATAAAAACATAATTTAAGAGAGATTTAATTCTGCCACACTGTTTACAATAGATTTTTTTGACAAAAGAATCTGGTTGGGTCCTTAAGACACAGGCTTCCTTGCTTCTTGTAATATGTTGCCCTTCTTCTTCTTCACTCTGTCACCCTATGCGTTTGATATCTGGGACACTGAAGTTTCTCGGCCTTGTGTAGTTTTGGACAAATGAATTCTCGGGAGAGGCGCAGCAAAGTCAGTCGGCAAGATCTGGCCAGGGCGACATTAGTTACCATCACCAACAATATCGGATCGATAGCTAGGATGTGCGCAACACAAGAAAAAATCGACAGGGTAAGTGGAATAATACCGTATTTGACTTTTTTGGAAATTGTAACATTAAATTTAAATCTATCATAGCAGAAAAATGTAACTGTTATATTTATTTATTTTCAAATTTTTTTCAAACTTGAAATTATAATTTTATGTTTAAAATTTTCATCCTCGAGTATAATGTATAACATGTCCAAAATAAGAATGTATGTTATGGGGTTAATGAAAACGAATATATCATTAAAATAACATAAACAGATCGTAGATATTTTTTATTGTTTGAAATTTGAAAAAAAAACAAATTTTTTAGTTTTCTATTTTATTCTATCACCTCTTTTGTATTTTTTCATGGAAATATCAGTTTTGTCATCTGTCGTTTCAATTTGCCATCAACTTAATTTTCTTATACAAGACCCTGCCTTTAAAATAAATATTTTTAAATTATTGTTAACTTTGGCAAGTTTAATTACATCTTGCATACCTATAGTTCAGTCTTCTTCAGTAATTTCTTTAATACATGTTAAGTACGGCCCCTTCACTTAAAAGAGAATTGTAAAATTATTCTTAATAAGACTTAAAAACATACAAAAATCTGAATGTTAATTCGGTTAAGACAAATAAAAATTTCCACGAGAAATTAAGTACATAAAATAAATAAATGAAATAGACAATATTACGAGAATAATGAAAAAGGTTTTTTTGATAAAAGGCCATCCTTAAAATATTTTCGATGTTAAACAAAGTATCTGAAAAAAAAACAACAAAGATTAAAAAATTTGTTCTTTTTAATTCTTTTAAAAAATAAAATATATCTAAAACATTTATATACATTTTCAATGGCCCTTAATGGCATTGATGTACACTACGCAACAAAATTATTTCATTCCATTTCGCATAGATTTTTTCTTAAAGTACAATTACCTACAAAATGGAAAAAAATCGTCTTGACACCATGAAAATTGAGGGAGCCATGCACAGAAAAATGGCAAAATTTCTATTGCGATAATTTTGTTGCGAAGTGTACTATAGGATTTTTTATAGTAGAAGATCCGACTGCGAGATTACTACGTTCATCTCTTTTTAAATCAAAATACAATTTTTATAAACAATTAGGAATAGAGGAATATGTTCCTGCTGAGTTGCCCATCAAAATATGGCCGCAAGTATTTTTAATTAAAATTAAATTAATAAATTTTTTCCAAACAATTTCGTTTACTTGTTTTTAAGATAAATTATAAAAGGTTGGTAAATGTAACATTTAAAAAAAAAGTCTGGCTCGCCCGTTATTCGAACCGAGGACCTTCGGCTTTGCAGTAGCAAGCTTTCGAATTGAGCTATAGTGGCCTACCGGTGGGTGGAGCCGTTTGGGCTATTTGAAACTTTGAGTCTCCGCAGATGTAAACAAAAAATTTAAAATGTTCAAATTAAGATTTATCGATCTATCGTCTCTAAAAGATCAGAACCGGCGCGTAACGGCAAAATAACGACTCGCCGTGATCCGACGTTTGGAAAAAGTGTATTAATTAAATTTTAATTAAAAATACTAGCGGCCATATTTTGATAGGCAACCCGGCAGAAACATTCATAATTGAATTGAATTTTTAAAATGTTGCACAGCCTCAAATAGAGCATCTAGATACTTGAAATTTAAAAAAAAAAGACCTTTCAAATGGTTTTCGAAAAGTTGAAATCGGTTGATTAGGACGGCCACAGTAAATTTTTAAAGTTAACACTATTTTTTTTTATTTTTAAACAATTAGATTACATTTATCAATTAACTTTTTTTTAAAGAAGCATTTTTCCGAGTACTTTAAAATTATAATTTGTGAAAAAAACTAAATTGCAAATTGATAAATGCAATATAATTGTTTAAAAATAAAGTGTTAATTTTAAAAATTTACTGTGGCCATCCTAATCAACCGATTTCAATTTTTCAAAAACCATTTGAAAGGTTGAGCGGTCTTTTCTATGTGGAAAAATTTTCAAGTATCTATATGCTTTATTTGAGGATGTGCAACATTTTGAAGATTACAAATTTTTTTCAAAATTTTTTTCAAAAAATTATTTTGCGAAAACTATCGAACCGATTTTAATGAAATTTGCTGTGTTGTTTTATTATACTCTAAAGTTTTTTTTACCAAAATTGGAATGCCCTCGGAGCAATTAAAATATTTAAAAAAAATTATCCAAAAAACTTGATTTTTTGCCTTTTATCAATTATTGCTATTTTGCAACATCGGTAATAAATTTAAACATGTTTAACTTACAGTATATTGTGCAAAATTCAATTCTAAAACTATTTTTCCTCTTCAATATTCTTCCAAAATGCATAGGTTTCAAGATATAAGCAAAAAACTCAGATAAAATAGGTATTTTTTAAATTTTTTAAACATTTTTCCAATTTTGGAAATGTTCCGGACCTCGCACAGGTCTAGGAATCTACACTTTTATTATGCGAGTTGTACTTTAAATAACATTTTTGCAGTTAATTTGAAGTTAACCACTTTTTCATGTAGGTTGTCTTCATCGGTAACTTCCTGCGAGTTAATCCCATCGCAATGAAGCTACTAGCGTACGCTATGGACTACTGGTCAAAAGGGACCATGAAGGCGTTGTTCTTGGAGCACGAGGGGTACTTTGGCGCCGTTGGATGTCTACTACAATTTCATGAAGATATAAAAAGTTGAAGTTTGTAAACGAAATTGTGGTTCTTGCCTTTTAGATTGGTTTTGCTATGTTACGAACATTCCAAATATGAAATGGGGATTTTAGTACAAATCACCAAGGTCCAAAGGAAGTGGTCGCATGTAGGCATTTTAAAACTAGGAATAGATTTTGTATTACATATTTTTTAACACTATAGAAATTTTATCGTGGCTCTTTCACATTTATTTATATAGTTGTTTTATATGTTTTTATTATATTCTCTTTATTTATTAAGACAAAAAAGCTTTACTATCAGTTCGTGAAAAGGTATTTGACATATTTTATTTATCATAATCGAAACGGTGTTGGCTGTTCTTGTTATTAAAAATAAGGCACGCACATATTTTGTATATGTAAGCCGTAAGATTTGCACAAAAATTATGTCGTATAAAAATATTTATTAAAATATTTCTTTATAAATGCCTCTTATTTTCTTACCCAACTAGGCTATTGATTATATCCAAAAAAACAGGGTTAAAAGGAACGTTCAAGCAATTTTATTGCATAAATCGTTCAAAGGGTCATTTTAGATGAAAAAACCGCGGAGTGCTATTAAATTAGAGGGTGGAAATTGGAGATAGGGGTGAAAATGCACCCCTTTCAATTTTTTAACTGTAGCTCGAAAACGAAGCAAAATTTCGCTATAGTTCATAGGAAAAATTATTTAGAGAATTGAATTTCTCTTCGAAATTGCTTATTTAAAAAATTTTAACAGAAAATTTTATGCAAAAAATCGTTAATGAACAATTTAAGAAAAACAAAATGTTCGATTTTCTGATTTTTTTTTACTTTTTTGCCTCTTGTTTTTTTTTTGAGTAAAGATAGGTATAGGCATTGTTTCATAGAAAAAAAAGTAGATAAAATTTCCTTCAAAATAAGAGGTTGAAGAGTATTTTTGGATGAAAATTGACTGATATATGGCCGCTCAAACTTAGCCAATTTTTCGATTTTTGTTGCGTTTACCATTATACGTTTTAATTCTCATTTTTTGCAAAAAAGGAAGGAAATAAAACGTTCAAGGATTTTCATCACATGACTTGTTCGAAGGGTCATTAAAAGGGAAAAAACCGCGGGGTGCTACTAAATTAGAGGGTTAAAACTGAGGATAGAGGTGAGAAAGCACTTTTGCAGTTTTTTAAATATAGCACGAAAACAAAGCAAAATTTCGGTATAGTTCATAGGAAACATTTTGTGGAGAATTGAATTTCTCATCGAAATGGCTTATTTAAAAAATGTTAAAAGAAAATTTTATGCAAAAAATCGTTAAAAATAAGATTTTTTGATTTTTTAAAAATTTTTGAATAAAATAATTTAGTAAAAACATGAGAATTTAAGTACTATTAATAATGTATATAAAGTGTGTCCGCGGATGGAGTTGACAAGAAGAGAAACTTTTGTTTTTGACTTTATCGAAAAATGTCACTCATTATAAAAAGTTCTGCCCCTCGAAAAAAATGAGAATAAGACTCATACAAACATCTTAGATTAGATATATAGGGTGCTCATAAATTAAAATAACACGAAAATACTCGAGAGAGAAGTACCATTATTTATTATTTTACACATTTTTTTAAAACAAATTGTTTATAACCTCAAATAATGTCCTAATACAAGTTTTAAAATCAAAATTTCTGACTTACTCTATATGTATAACTACTTCTCACCTCAAAAATTGAAATTTGGTTTTAAAATTTGTATTAGAACATTATTTGAAGTTATAAATAGATTTGTTTTATAAAAATGTGTAAAATAATAAATAATGGTACTTCTCTCTTGAGTATTTTCGTGTTTTTTTAATTTATGAGCACCCTGTATATCTAATCTAAGATGTTTGTAAGGCAGTCTCATTTTTTCGAGGGTAAGAACTTTTTATAGAGACATTTTTCGAAGTCAAAAACAAGAGTTTCTCCTCTTGTCAACTCCATCCGTGGACACACTGTAAAGGTATACATTATTAATAGACTTTATTGTACTTAAATTCTCATGTTTTTACTAAATTATTTTATTAAAAAAGTAAAAAAATAAAAAAATCTTATTTTTTGCTGGCTAAGTCTAAGCAGTCAATTTTCATCCAAAAATACTTTACAACCTCTTCTTTTGAAGGAAATTTTATCTACCTTTATTTCTGGGAAGCAATGCCTATACCTATCTTCACTCAAAAAAAACTAGAGGCAAAAAAGTAAAAAAATCAGAAAATCGAATTATTTGCTTTTTTCAAATTGTTTATTATCGATTTTTTTTGCATAAAATTTTCCTTTTAAATTTTTTAAATAAGCTATTTCGATGGGAAATTCAATTTTCAAAATAATTTTTCCTATGAACTATAGCAAAATTTTGCCTTAGTTTCGAGCTACAATTAAAAAACTGAAAGGGGTGCAGTTTCACCCCTATCTCCAATTTCCACCCTCTAATTTAATAGCACTCCGCGGTTTTTTCATCTAAAATGACCATTTGAACGATTCATGTAATAAATTATTTTGAATGTTACTTTTAAAATCCTCTATTCAGTAACCTAAACAGTTTTTAAATTAATGTAGGCAGAAAAGTGGTACAACGGGTAAGTAAAACATGGAAATGGATGTTGTTAGAAAATATAAATGAATAAAAGAAGTTCTGGACGAATTAAAATATATTTTAAATAATCTTTATGCAATCTAACTTGTAGTTTATTGAAAAAATAGTAATTTTTCATTTCGTATTGAAAGATAAACTTGTAAAAAGTGCATGTTGCCAAGAAACAGATTGACAGATTTTGGAGAATACCTTCTAATAAATTAACTGTTATTTTTTGGAAATACTCATTGTTTTAAGGGGAAGTATCTGAGTAGAGAAATTTTTTTTTACATTTTTTTTCGGTCATCTTAAGAATATTGTGTGTAAATTTCATATTGAAATTCCATAAATGTGGAAGATATGGGCAATTTACCAGAATGCATTAGGCATGAAGGTAGAAAGAAAAAAGAAACGCTGATCAGCATTGCGAGAAAGAAGATACAAAACGGAAATGTACTGCCTAAATCAAAACTCACAATGCGACACGTGATGGGAGGATCCAGCGAAGGCAGTCAGTGCTGCGGACGGTCTATTCTGTGGTCCATAAATCGCAGATTAACGGTAAAGCAAAAAAAAAATTTTTCAATATATATGTAACTATTATGAATTTTTTACAAAAATCATTTTTTCCAAAAAAAATTCTCCAAGTCTGGAATATCGCACCTCCGCTAGAAAGGAGTCACAACTCAAAAAAAAAAAGTTTTGAGAAAAACTGAAATCTTGCTGCATATTTAACTCATTAAGGAAGTTTTTTGACTTATGACTCTTTTTTTGCGGGGGTGCGATATGAATAAGCAAGTGTAAATGTTATGTTGATATTCCAAAAACTGTGCAAGTTATGGGCGATTACCAAGAAGCTGACGAGCGACCAACCATTTATCATGCGAAAAAATTCTGACACTTCTCTCAGTTCCTTGGGTTCCAAATAGGGTCTCCCAAGGAGCGTCATTCTGCTATGTGCAAATCCCAGGCACTCGCCCAGGATATGCAGAGAAGTTTCATTCACAGATTCACATCCTCGGCAGACCGGACTGTCTACAAGCTTTAGCTTATGTAGATGTTTCCTAAAGTGACAGTGTCCCGTTATGAGTCCTGTCACTCTCCTGAGCCGGATTCTGTTCAAGCTCAGTAAATCATTCGCTCTTTCCTTCAATGAGCTCCTTAGAATGGCTATGTCCTGGCCTTGAAGTCCAGTATTTCCTGTGTTCTGTCTCAGTCCATTTGCCCAGAGCCCGCCTGACCACACTGGGAGATGTGCCACAGAAGGGCTCCGGGCCAATGAACTCTGTTTCGGATCCCTTCCTAGCAAGTTTATCCGCTTTCTCATTTCCACAAATGCCTTTGTGCCCTGGCACCCAACACAGTCTGACTGTATTGTTGGTGGCCAGTTCAGTCAGCATTTGTAAACAATCCCAAACCAGTTTTGAACTTACCTTGTGTGCGGCTAAAGCTTTAATTGCAGCTTGACTATCAGAGAATGTATATATGAGTTTACGTCTGTAACCTCTACGTACATTCTCTGCCAGACACGCCATTATCGCGAAAATTTCTGCTTGGAATACAGTGGGGTACTCCCCCAGACTGTAGCTTGCACTCCATCTGGGTCTGAGTCCATATATTCCTGCACCCGTCCCTCTGGTAATTTTGGAGCCATCTGTAAACCATACTAGGCTCCACCTTTCCAGGGTATTAAACCTTTCCTCCCATTTGCTTTGATCCTCTATTCGAGTCTCAAATGGCTTGTGGAAGTGAAACCTTGGAACCATCTTGTCAGATACCATCCCAGAAGTTGGTTCCGACATAGATGTGTCTATGATCCTGGAATAGGAACTACCCCTCCAGTCGTTATTATTCCTGAGTCGATATGCTGCTAGTCGCGCTTCTCTTTCCACCACTATATGCAGCGGTGGTAGATTTAGCATGACTTCTAGTACAGCTAAAAACATACTAATCAAAGACTGTTTCCAAAAAATTCAGAAAACGGCTTGACCAAAATTTAACACAATATTTTCGAAAATATTTTCTACTTCAGAATTTAACTTGGGGTATTTTTTTTCAAGCCAGAAGGGTCGGAAATGAAAGTTGAAAAGTGAATGTATAGTTCAATCAGCTGCCATTTTATGATTTTTTTTTTAAATCCTATATTGCAAAAGGCATCATACATTACATTTTGAGAATATTTTCACATTTTTGGTTCAGAACAAGCAACTGCATGTAATTTTGAGAACTTCAGAACATGCAAAGCCAGTCAATATATACAGAGTGATTCACAACTTATCCAAAAAAATTTGGGAATAGATGCGGCATGAAAAATGGAGTCAATGTCGTAAAATATTTTTTTGTAAAAACCTTATAGTTTCTGAGAAAAAAATGATTGAAGTTGAAGTATTTACAACCCTTACATTGCTGAACTACTGTAGTCTCCAGCGTCATTCGCGTTGTGCGCTGTTGAAACTGGGTAAGACGAGTCCAAAAGTGTTTACACGTTGGTGGACCAAATTTTGAACAGTTGTAACATCAGGTATGTCAAATTATTTTATTATTTAAAATCATAAATATATTTTATTAATAATAACAATAGCGGCAAAAGCAGTTGCATTTGCTGATTTAAAATATGTGTTATCAAATTTTATTTATTTCTTTCTTTCAATTTTTTGTCTGTTCATACTATATGCCTTGCCCTGCGGAAGGTCAGGTTCTACATGCAGAAATATATTTTTAAATCATTTTCGAGCTGCCCTTTTCGATTTTTTTTGTTACAAAATTGTATTTATAGGTCCCCTGT